TTATGGAGCAGTATTGTGTAGTTTGCCCACTTTGTGACCTAACTGGTATAGAAACAGGCTGAGACATCTGTTCATCCTTACTGTTCAGTGTGGGCCTCTGCAGTGGAAGCTTTTCTAATGTTCTGTCAAGTAAGGTGAGGGCTGAGGCTAATGACGTGCCCGCATAGATTACATCGAGAGTCAGCTCTCATATGAGTCCTCTGATGCTGAACGCGGTGAGGACTCCTACTGAATGGCTTCTTCAGTGGGTTCTGTGACTCCTGAAGCCTTCTTAACACTGATTACATTCTCTGACATCTTGCAGTGTGACACATGTGATGCCGAAAAGAGCTATTCGTGAAACTTCCATAGCAGTCATGTTCCTGTGATTGCAGAGTTCTCAGATGTAACTATCTGGTGTAACTTTTACAAATTGAATACAACTGGAATTTCTTGTCCAGTATGAATTCTCTCAAGTCGGACTGTATCAGGTCAGAAGCCATTCCTGCTATGACCATATCCCTGGGATTTCCCTGTTTGAGTTCTCACGTTGAAAACTCATGAAAAGGACCTCTTCTGGGTCTCCGCATGTACATCTCCTGTGTGAGCCTTCTCTTAAAAGGCTGAGCTGAAAACAGGCTTTCTCACACTAAATATTTATTCAGTCTTGTTTTTGAAAGTCACCCTTTGTGTAAGACAACGGATTTCCTACATCCCCCCCACGTTTGCTTTACAGCCGGTGCCAGTCCTCTAAGACTTCACAAAGGATGAAATCTTGAGAATTCCCTTCTCTTTCTCCCAACAAAACAATCTTCTTGCACAAGTTATTTTTTCTACTGTCTGTGCTAATTTGAAAGTTGCCACATTCATATTTGCAGGGCTCATCTCCTGCTTAAATTCTGGACAAGTCAGAAAAGTTAAGTGTCCTTCAGGCTTTTCTATAATCATGACCTTCAAAATAGTGTCTTCACTCCATTGCTGTCCTAACGATTACATCTAGATTATGTCTTGAGCTTTCCACCCCAACCACACATGGCAATGCTTTCTTTAAAGAAAACTGAGAAGGCTGAAGATTTGAATGCCAGCAAATATTTCTCCACATTTCTTATCTTCACAGCATCTTTTCAAATTAGTGCCTGCTTGAAGATGAATACCATTTCTTAAGCATTTGCCCAGTTTCCCTTCTATTTCAACCAATGCCTACGTGCCATTTTTGCTGTCATGGAAAGCTGGAGACACTTGCCAGCTGAGCTGCACCAGAGGCCTAACTTTCTTTCAGTCCCAGTTCTCTGCACTAAGTAGGGGCTCAGCTATACGCATGCCGGAGAAAAAGACCACAGCAGAGATAGCTGTTTTATCTAAGAGTAACGCAGCCATTCCAAACACCTGTGGTCCCCGTGATTTATGTCGGACAGGTGCGTTCAGCTGGCTGCATGGACCTCTCGGGTGTTTCTAACTCCCCTCATTCCTACTTCATTAGCAGAATCAGTCAAGAATCTAAGTGAAAGCTCCTAGATAGTTCTTTGTACTGTTCGTGTAACTGCTTAAAATTATTTCCACATAAAGATACAAAGAAAACCTGTTTGCACCCTTCAAAAGTCTATGCCTTTACCAGACTTCCCATGTCACTGACTAATGCCAGAAATTCAGAAGTAGTAGTATCTCTTCTTTATTGTACTTGAAGAATGAGTTACTGGGACATAAAAAAAGAATGTATATAGTAAATACATTACAAAGAACAGTCACGGGACATCCCTGGAAGTCTTCACCTCTGGGCAGTTCTTGGCAGACTCCTTTCCTTTGCGCCCTTGTGTCAATTACTCAGCTAGCCTCACGGAACCTACCTACGAATGGGGAGAAGCTGGGCAGCAACGCTACTGCCCTCAGACCAGGTGTTGCCACCTCCTCCCCAGGCCCCACCTGCTTCCCCCTAGCCTGTCCACCTTCACAGCTAGTGCGCTGTGAAAAGCACACCACACACCTGCTCGATGAAGTCGAACTTCCCTCACAGAGAGGCCCTGTGTGCTCCACCAGACTGAGCCTCCTGCCCGCCTGGGGGGGACTCCTTGCCCTGAATGTGCCGAGCCTGCTCTGGCTCCCTTCTTGCATCACCCCAAGCGGTGTTTCTGCACTGAAGTTCTCACCACCACCCTTACATGTCTGCAGACTTTTCTTCAGGAGTCGGCTTAGCTCGCACCCAGTGTCCCCTAACCACCTCCTCGACACTGCATCCCCGCTGCCCCTGCTTTACACCACGTCTTCTCTTCTCAGAACTCACCACTGTTTATCTCGTTTACACGGGCTCATCTGTGTAGCTTGTCCGTGGAAGCTGTCACCTCCCGGACTACGGGGTCTACAAGGCAGGGGTTGTGTTAGGTGTTCGGCTTACTACCAAAGTGCGTATTTTCCCCCCTTTTTATACAAATATCTGAGTTAAGAGAAGGGGAGGCAGTGGAGGGAAACAACGCTTGAAGTATTCTTTGTGACACGGCAGAGACGTGTTAGGTGCCTTCACCTCAGGCCGGCCTGCAGGCCTCATGAGCCACCTGCACGTGGTCTCTTGGGCACCCCCCTTGAATCTCCTGTCACCTGTCACGCTAACTCTCCTGACACATGCAGAACCACAGGCACCCACGGCCCCCCACGAGCAAGATTTAGGAAACTACTAGATCACCCAGAAGTGCATGGCTGTAAAGTCTGTCCACACAGGACACAGGACTTAAATTCCAGAAAGGAAAATACTCAAGTTAAGCCATCAAGCTGAAACATGGGAGTCCAGAAAAAGGGGCCAAAGAGTCATGGAGACTCTATGCTGTGATGCACAGGTCATCATCGAAGGTGGGGCCAGGTGTGGCTTTCACAGCTGAAGGCTGCAAAAGCAGGTGGTTCCAGTCATTTGCATTAGAGCACAGAGAACAAAGGAAGGGTGGACACCCAGTTTTCTTTACCAAGTCAGCACACTCTGATATCAAAGGGTCCAAAGATCACAGGAAGAAAAAGCCCACCAGCCCCCCCCACCTAATTTATGAATACTGACGGAGAAATCCTAAAAAGTAAGTTGACAGACGCCAGCAACATATTACAAGGGCACTTCTAGGATTACGTCACTGTTAACTTTTCAAATGAGAAAATTCCCACGATCACCTTGGAGGGCTCGGGAAGGGGTAAACTGCGGCTACTACTAACTCTCGTTATTAGAAAGGGTGAGACGACTATGTCTATCCGGTCAAAGCTGACTTGAATCAGCAGATTCCAGCATGCCTGTCAAAACCCCGAAACTTTCCCATTTAAGTTTCAAAGACACTCGAATCTTCACACTCAGCTCAGGGTTTTGGAAGTACCAGCTATGATGAGTGTAATTACATGACTGTGCAAAAGAAGTAACATAATAGTATAACTGCCTCCCCCTTTACACTTGCCAATTAAATGACTTTGTACTGAGAAAATTAATGAGAATCTAACAGAACTGTTACAAATAATAAGGGAATTTAGCAGTATGACAGAGCCCTCTGCAACAGCTATGCAAGACTGCAAGAGCGGATTAAGCTGAGCCGGTTAACTGCACCTACAGTGAATGCCCCACAGCACCTAGAAGTCCTGAAGGGCACTGAGGTGAGCAGACCCCTTTGTACACCTGAGACCAGTTCTGCTGCGTCAAGGAATTTCTAAGTCCAATTTAATGTAATACACATTCTAACAGAATTTTCTCCATAAACCCTGACAAGCTGATGGTAAGTGTTCTCAACTGGTTGAGAACTAAATAGGTGTGTCTTTTTTTTTTTTAATATGAGAGGAACTACCATTTACCCAAGTTTGTTATAAAACCACAGTAAGCACAGCAGTGTGGTGTTTAGTCAGAGACAAACCAAAGGAGCTTAAGGGGCCAAGAAGGCCTGCACACGATGCTGACTACAGGAGTTAAGTCCATGAGAAAATGGCATTTCCAATAATCAGAACAGAAAAAGGTATGGAAAAAACTTGGGCCCCACACCTTACACATGAGGAAAGTCCAGTTAAATGGAACAACTAAACCGAAAACACATTCGAAAGAATATCAGAATACAAGAAAGTATCTGGGCACTCTGCCTATGTATGACATTAAACCTAGAATAGGAATGGAGACAGATTTGAAAGGAAAAACACCTGAAATCATAAAACATCTTAATGGAGACTAAAGATAGAAGATGTATGTTGGTCTGGTATTTGCAGTATCAAGATCCATAATATATAGTATACAGAATCCCTACACACAGAAAGAAAAAAAAGGCGAGAAAAACAAAAACTCACAAGGAAAAAATACAAATGAACAGTAAACTTAAGAAAGTACATGTAACTTCAAGAGGGAACTAAACTGAAAATATCTTTTCCCATCAGATATGCAAACCCTAAAAAGAGGGCTGAAAGTCACTGGTGTCTTACGCAGAGGAAATGAGCTGTTGTTCTTGCGCAGCTAGATGTATTTTACAGGATTTCAGACAGCAGTTCCTTGCTACCAGATTTTTTTATCACTTAAACTTGGTTGATTCCAAGTTCAATGTCTAGAAATCCTACCGACAAAAAACCATCCTGAATGTGCAAAACAATGGATGCGAGGAAGTTTTTTTTTTCGCAACTTGAATGTCCATCAAGAGGAAAACATCAAATGTGGACTAAGCTACGTTTGTTAAAATAAACAAAGCAGACCTGACTCTGAGTCTGGTAACACACCCATATCATAAACATATACCTACGAGTGTGAACATATTTACAAAATCTGGTCAGCAACACACCACTTACTGGTGATTCTGTGAGAGAAGGGCAGTAGACAATGAGTGTAGCAGGGTGAGGGAGCCCCTTCTGCCAGTCTGGCACCAGCAACAGGTTCGCGTTCAACCAAGCGTACAGCCCTGATTCAGAGTCCACAGCTGCCACCACATCACCCCACCAGGGGCTTTCCCATCCCCCTCCTTTTCTAAGACACTATTTCCTGACTAACCAGTCAGCCCGTTCCCTGCCAGGACTCCCATGTGCCTGGATCTCACCTGAAGAGGTGTCTTGAGGAATTCCTCTCTCCACCGACCAGAGCTCTTCCTCCTCCTCTAACTGAGATACCACATCTGGCTTGGAAAGCTGATGTTCTGCCCAAGGGAAAAGAGACAGGGCTTGGGGGTCTGTGTCCGCTGTAGCAGCGCTGTCCCTGTGGTCTCCCCAGCTAGGCAGGACTTCTGGTCCAGGGCCTTGCTGATAACCTCACCCATCCCCTTTGCCAGCTGCTTGCTTTCCTGGACTCCCTTGCCAGTAAAAGAGGCAGTGGGCCCCGGTTCTGGTCAGCAAGACACAAAGGTAAGTTTGTCAGCTGGGGACCTCAGGCCTTTTTCTTTCTCAGTAAATGTGACAGCTGTAAAAAGAGAACTATCTAGGGCTGCCCCCTCCCCTTCTTTCCTTATGCCTGGAACATGGACATGGTGCTTGGCATCACAGTCATGCATCTACCAACCTAAGAATGGGAAACTTCACATTAACCACAGAGAGATGGAAGGGATCAGGGTCTCTGATGAGTCCTGAGCTGTGAGACACTGACACCACGTTCTTTGAAATTCTTGTTACAAAAACAGTAAACATCCACTCCAGCAGCTGAAAATATCCTTGACAGACCCACCTCCCTGGGAGGAACTAGGTAAAACTTCAGAAGTTCCACGTGAAGCTGCCCTTTTCCTGTGGGTACAAGGTAAAGCCCTCTCCCTCAGGCTTCAGGGCCTTGACACTTGAACTCGGATCCCTGCAGGCTGAGCCCAAGCAGACACACACTTCAGAGGCACCACATTCGTGCTGCAAAGCGCAGATCTTTATTGACACAGAAACCATCCTTACCCACTGAGACCAGGTTCCTGTAGTTCTCCAGCATGACCTCCCTGTACAGGGACTTCTGTTCGAGGTCCAGCATTTCCCACTCCTCCGGGTTAAAACCCAGGGTCACATCTTCAAAGATCACTGGTTCCTAAAACCCACAGGTGCCTGTTCAGCCAGGGCCTGTTGTCACCCATGCTGACAGGAGGGGGAGGCTGACTGAGCATGTGCAGGAACAGTCAACAAGATGAGCTGAGCATTCCAGGTGTCTCATGAATTCCTGCGTCTGTCAGGACCTGAGCAAACCCAAGCTTGACCCTATTCAGTCACAGCAAGGAGGACAACCCATGAGGCCATTTCAGAGAATAAGGTTCTTCATTCTCTGAAAACCTCTCCATTTCTTTTTAACCTGGGAATTTCAACACTGGTATCAGTATGTGTACCTCCTGCTAAGGAACTGCAAGGTTTGAATCATCACCTCCCAGCATGCAGCCCCGCCCTGCCCCGGCAGCTGCCCATTCGACTTCTACTCCACCTGTCAAGGAGCCATCCTTCTCTCTCATATTGCCCAGTGACTAAGCTTGAATGCCAAAGTCGCTGTTGAAATCTAAGCCTGACGCTGCTTAGACCAGTCAATGACTTCCTCCCCCCAACACCCCTGTTTAAAGGATAAGTTAGAATCCCCGTTAATTTGACCTATATTCTAACCGTCCCCTTGAAAAGCTAAGCAACTTGCTGTTTCTCCACCCTCTAGGGTCTCTCCTTCCCAGGCAGCCCTCCTCCCCTCCCCTCCCTTCCCCGAGATGCTGCGGGGCCCAGGGACATCTCAGAGGAGAACGTGTCCCACCACCACCACCCGGCTCCCCCCTGCTCCCAGACTCAGGGGTAGACTCAGAAACTCACAAAGCCTCTACTCACAGGAAACCAGGCCGTCGGAAGCCCGGAGGCCATACCTTCCTCTTCCTCGACGTGTCTCGGGGCAGTGGGCAGAGTCCTGAGGAGGTCGAATAAGGGAGGTGGGAGGGGCGTGAGGGCTACGCGGAGGCCCCACCCGCCCTCGTCAACTGGAAATGACAGGTCAGTCCCTCCACCTCGGAAGATGCCCTGAAGGGGTTTCTCCACCTGCTCTCGAACACACCCAGAGGGCCAGTGTCCCACCCTCCTTACCCAGAGGAAAGCGGCCACCTCCCCGCCCTGCACGCGCCCGGAGAAGGTCGGCCCTCCCCGCGTCCTCTGGGCCCCGAGTCCCCGAATCCTACTGCCCCTTCCGGCCGCTGGACGGAAGGACGGCAGGCAAGGCTGGCTCTGGGCTCCTGCGCTTGAC